TCTGGTTTAGCCCAAACCAGGACACCCAGTAACACAGACCCAGCTCCTGAGGCGGGGGCACAGGCAAGGGGCCGGAGACGATGCTGGAGCTGCCGGGAGGCGGGCAATCCTGTCAAGAGGAGCTGCCATCTCAATGAGTTTCCATCCCAAGGGTGTGGATATGAGCCCATTAACCCGTGACCAGTCCAGCTGGCTTCCTGGCACAGTTAGCCCTCCATAGATGATGGGTAATTTTCTCCCCTGTGCACCATTTTTTTCGGGTTGATTCCTTTAGCTTTGCTGCTTCGTGTATCCGTACCCTGAGGCAAGAGAGTGGGGGAGACGTAATGAGAAGTGGAGTGCAACAGCGGATCTGAGCGCTGCAGCCTTCTGCTGTCTCTGTTGCTGTTAAAGGACGTAATTGTGCTGCTTGGGATGTTTTTTCTTCTCATAGCTTGGGTTTTTTAAAGCTTCCACTTCAAAAAATCCTTTTCACGGTGCGGCTCTGCCTGTGTTTGTATCAGCCCAGGTAAAGGGGTGATGAACGAGCAGGGAGCAGGAGCAAACAGCCGAGATCTGGGAGGATGGGAACGCCTCGTTGGACTTTCAGGGAGTATCTTTTGTGCAGCTGCATCTGAAGGTTATTGCTGGTAACACACATTTGTCAGGAGCCCTTCTTTCATCGCACAGAGTAAATAGCCTGATGAAGCAGCTCCGGGCTTGGTTTGATTTTTTTTTTTTTTTAAAATTCCTTTTCTTTAATGTATCTCATTTGTTTTGCAAAATGACCTGCAGAAAAAAAAAGCCAGGTCAAGGCTGTCCTTCCTTATATTGCTGTAATACGCTGTTCTTTAGGAAAAAAAAAAAAAAAAAAAAGAAAAAGGGAGAGTGAGTATTTCAGTGCACGATGTTCAAATCCTCCCCCGCTGTTGTTGTTTTTCCTCTGAGATGCTGTCTGGGTGAGGATGCTTCATTAGGAGGATGAGATAGGAGGGGTGGGTAGTCGGAGTGGCTGAGGAAGGGTGGAAATGCCATCCAGCTATTTACCAGCTCCCTGCTTTGTGTTCCTTTGGCTTCTCACAGATTTCACTTCAGGGATTAACAAATAACTTGCGAGAAAAGATCTTTGTGTCGGCTTAATTGCGCGTACGCTCTCACGCGCGTACGCTGCAGGTAGAGGCAAACGGTGCCTGTGTGCATGCCTGTTCCCTGCTTTATCTGGTGCTTTCGTGTGGGGAGGGGAAGGCTGGAGCTCTGGAGATGATGTTTTTAATCACAAAAAGAAAAATCAAAATCAAAACCTTTGAATTTCAAGCCTCTTGGAACCCCTTCCCTCATCGTAAGTAAGCCAGAAAGGTCAGAAATAGGCATGAAAACCTGAATTAACCGCGCGTTTCCTCTCTCTCGTAGCGATGCACGGCTGTTTTGACGTAGTGGAGCTGCTCCTGGAGCGGTAAGCAGTGATGTTTTTAATCACAAAAAGAAAAATCAAAATCAAAACCTTTGAATTTCAAGCCTCTTGGAACCCCTTCCCTCATCGTAAGTAAGCCAGAAAGGTCAGAAATAGGCATGAAAACCTGAATTAACCGCGCGTTTCCTCTCTCTCGTAGCGATGCACGGCTGTTTTGACGTAGTGGAGCTGCTCCTGGAGCGGTAAGCAGCCTTCCAGCTGTTGGGGAAGCGCGGTTGCACAGCTGCCCTGCGTGCGCTCCCCGGCCCATCTCTGCCTCCTCCGGGTTTTTCCTGGCCGGTTAGGGGCCTTGGAGACAAGGACGCTCTCCGATGGCTCTGGCTTGGCTCCGACACAAGCCCCGGTTATATAACTCGGCTCTTTTTTCGGTGCTGATTCATTCCCGATGCGTCTGAGGCCGTGCAATAACAACAAACCAGTTCTCTGACAGCTTGGTTCTGGGTGTAGCTCCTCTACGCTTAGCCTCCAGCCTTTCTTTTCAGGCTCCTGCCCCTGGGAGACTGCTGTGAAGTGGCTTTAAAGCCGCCTGTGCCCAGTCATCCTGACCCAGTTACCTCCCTAACCAGCCCTGCCCGCTGCCAGAGCTGGAGCAGCTTTTCCCGGGCATCGCAGCCCCTGCGAGCCGCGGCTCCCGTTAGCCAGCTCATCCCAGCCTTGTTAATTCCCCTCCGTGCTTGGCCCGGCGTGAACGTAGCCCTGTGATTCGAGCCGGGCTTTCAATTTTAATTCAGTCTTCTCTCATTTCAGTGGAGCTTTAACCTGAGCGAGACCTGTGGGCTTTGGTTTTTGTACGTGGCGTTGTTCGGTGAGGGTATGGTTTTCTCCTCTGCCGCCGCAAGGCCTTGTGCCCACATTACCCCTTCCAGAGATCTTCTGTGTGGGGTGGGGGCAAGGAAAATAAATATAAATGATCTATAGAGCCCTGGCTTTCCTGCAGCAGAGCAAGCTGCACCAGATCTCTGACCCAAAAAAGCCCCAGCAGGCCGTACCCCAGCAATAAAGCACCGAGACAGGTTTATGCACGGTCTACGGACAGGCTTTCCGTGTGCCATTTCTGATCCCATCTGCTGATAGTCTCCTGCCCCACCGATCCGAGGCAACTAGTGCAGGAAGGATTTTAGAGCCACCAACACCTCTGCCCTGGCTTTTGTCTTCTCTCCCAGGTGCCAGTACAAACCTGACAGCAGAGACAAATGTGGAGTCACTCCCTTTATGGATGCTATCCAGAACGGGCACATCCACATTGCCCGGCTGCTCCTGGAAAAACACCAGGTAAGTGCCAAAAAACCTCACCTCCCTCCTCCAGGACCTGACCTAGAACTGCCAGGACAGGCAATCCACGTGCTCCCCGTAACCATATTGTAAAGAAGCAAATCCCCAAACTGTAAAGAAGCAAATCCCCAAACTGTAAAGAAGTGAATTGTGAAAGAAGGCAAATTCCCCCTGGAAGTGAGCAAGATTCTGCTGAGTAAGGCCACCAGGACGCAGCTCATCTTCCCCCCAGGGCAGGGATCTTCACCCTGGGGCAGGGATATGTCCCCGTAGCTGGTGGAGGGGGATGGAGACACAAGGCAGTGACAGGAGGGGACGGGACTGGCCTGGCACTGCAGGGGTGGCTGTGTCAAAGCCAAGACCTGCTCTCGGGAGTGCCAGGGCTCAGCGTGGAGGCCCTCGTGGGCGCGCTGAGGGTGGATAATGTGGAGGCATCTGGCTGTGCTGGCAGCAGCTCATCTCTGGCCTCCCTCTCTCGTGGCAGCTGCTGCTCCCGTGTCGTCTCCCAGTAATCTCCAATTTCCTCCAACATACAGCGTGTAACAGGGATGTCATTAGAGCCAATTGTGCGTAGCAGGAGCCAGACCACTGCAGCGTTCATCGACCGCCGCGCTGATGCGAGGTGGTTGGAGCCCACCTGATGGCTGATGCTCACAGAGGCAGGGTTGGGCCTCCCTCCTCACCTGCTTTGCCCTCATTTTGCCAGTCCCCTGCACCAGTTCTGGTGTTCATGGGACACCACGCCGAACCGGGGCGCCTCGCTGGCCTGGCAGAAAGCTAGCGTGGCAAACAGTGAATCTGGCAGGTTGAATTGGCCAGTGGAGCCCCCAGCAAGGCACGGAGTGGGCCTGGGAAGGTGGTACCGCACTTTTCAGGACCACAGGCTTGGGGTTTACTCAGCTGTAACACGTGGCCTCACCCAGCAGAGACGGTTTGATGCCCAGGTTGCGTTCGAGTGCGTAGATACTTGTTGACTTCAGGAGACGTTCGTGTGTTTGTCTTTGCTCAGCAGGATAAAACGTTTGTGAAGTTTGCTGACATTTTCAGTCTCCCATTTCAGGCAATGAAGATGGAATAGTCGATTTCATTTCCTCGTTGTGGTGCCCTGGCTTACTGCCATGAAGCAGCACTGGAAACGCTAATGGCAGCGTTGCTACCTTCTAGGTTTTATAAAACCGTGAGTCAGGCCCACTAGACTTGAGGAGGCTGGATTGTACCCTTTGAGATGAGTGCACCATGTATTGCTTCCGTTACCCTTCTTGGGTTTACATCTTTGTGGTTCACGCTCAGAAGAGACCTCATGAGGTCATCCACCCCTCTACCGGCGTCCCAAGTTCTTCTCCACCACCACAAAGGTTGGAGATGGGTTGTTTCTTGCTGCTTTGAAGAGTTGAAACCCATCATGAAACCTTTCAACTGAAGAGAGAGGGGGCTTGGTTCTTCTTTTTGGCACTAGTTTTGCTTATCACTTAAAAAGCTCAGCAGAGAGCTGGCTCTGGTCTGCAAATCAGGGTGCTACCAACTGCACTGATCCTGCTGGTGACATCCCACGTGTTCACTGCCTCCACCGTGGCCGTGGCAGGCAGCCACGATTCTCCTTGGCCTGGTGATTGTCCTTGAAGGTTTGGCCAGGCTGTTCATTGCTTTCCCTTTCCCTCCTCCCCCATTCCAGGCCTGTCCTTCAGCCGTGGACGCGTTGGGTGCTCAACCTCTGCACCGGGCAGCTGTCACGGCCCAGGATGAAGCCATCCAGTTCCTCGTCTCCGAGCTGGGTGTCGATGTCAACGAGAGAGCAACAGCCCTCCAACTCACAGCACTGCACTACGCAGCCAAGGTTTGTTCCTGTTCCCAGGGTTCCTCTCCAAAGTCTTTGCCAGTTGGGGTGCTCCAGGCAGGCATCTAAAACAGGCTGGTTTAGATGTTCACTGCTGATGGAGGATTTGCATTCCTACCTCATCCTCTGTCACCACCTGCTCCTGACCAGTCCTGTACCCCGTTCAATGGGTTTTAGACCCTCATGAAGCGTGTCCAGCTGTCTGCAGAGTGGCGGTGGGCATCTGAGTGGCTCCGTTCACCGCTCTCCTGCCCACCCTGCTGACTTGGTAAACCCTCCTGCCTGGTGTGGGGCTGAGCGGGGTCGTGCAGGAGCAGAGGGGGGGTGGCGAAGGGGCACAGCTCCTTTTGCCACGCCTCCAGTTGGCCTTGCTGCGGACAGGGCTTGACCCACACCTCCGATGAGTGTTACTCTTCCAGTTCTCTGCCTTCGGACCAAAAGGGCAATACCTGGAGTGCACCCTGCTAGCTACTGGGAGCTGTAGGTACCACCAGTTCATGAGCTGTGACAGTACTTCACCAGCATCTTCTCATTCTCGTGGCAGAGGAGGTGTGGATGAAATGCTGCTCAGATTTCTTTCTCTGTCTTTCCTCAGCTCTGGGACTGGACAGGAGATGGCTGATGCGCTGTGAAACAGCAACTGTTTGTCCCAGTAGGACGGATTCTGGCCTGCCCATGGCCAGACTGGAGAAAGGGGAGGTGGAAAGGCGGAGGGAGCTCCGGGGCTCTTATCTGCGTCCTTCACGCAGGAGCTGTTTTGAATTCCAGGCAGCGAGGGAGAGTCGTCGGAGCTTTTTCCTCCCATCTCACGCCTGTGCGGGAAGCGGGGCCTGGTGGCCTGTGGGTCCTGCAACGCTCCCTGGGAGCGCAGAGCAGATCCCAAAAGCCTCACCCCTGACCAGGATCCCTCCTGGGACCCTCCTGCCTCCCTTCTGCTTGGTGCTGTCGCACCACGGCGTGCAGCGTGCTGGCAGCCGGTGGCAAGGAGAGGTCCTTGCCCACATCCCTGCCTGTTAAACCTCGTGAGCTTTAACATGCAGCCCTCAGAGCCCGGTCTAGACTTGTAGTGGGAACGAAGCAGCATCCCAGCGCCCCACTCCTACAAAAGCATCAATGACACTTATTGGGAGTGCTGGCAACAGTATTCTCCTCCAGCAGGACCCAGCCGTGGCATTTGCTGGCTCCCACAAAGGAGGCCTTTCTCCCAGCTTTCCCTTCCTCATGCTCTGAGAAACCATGTTGAAAGCCCTTTTGGTTGCCAAGGGTACGTTTAACAGCAAGGCTATTGGGGAATATAATGTGCCTTGGAGAAGATCCCAGCTCTGTCTTGGCGAGTGGCTGATTGGGGAACGATTTGATGGGTCTCTCTTCCTTTCCGAGGCTCAGTGTCACTTTATATTTACAGCAGCATTTGTTTAGCTGGTGGGTTTGGTTTTTGTTGTGGGTTTTTTTTTTCTTCTTCTTTTCTTATTACTTTGCATGTACAAATACAGGAAAATCAAATTACGCTTCCAACTCAATTTGCTGCCAAGGCTGTGGCAGCTAAAGCAGTTCCTGGCTTGTTTGCCCCTGAGAGGGGGTGTGCGTGCAGCAGGGAAACGGGAGCCTTGAGCAGGGGGGAAGGTGCTACTGAGTCGTACGATAACGGGGGGAAAAGAGTGGGTGGCAGGGATAAAAATAAGAGTCTCCCACTCTCATGCCGCATGGCAAAGACTAGTTCATTGCATGGAAGAAGTAATTAAAAAAAATCGGGCGTGTTATTTAGGGAGAGAGGATTTATTTAGGGAGAAGCTGGCGCAGAGAGGAGGGGTGTGGGGGCTGTATTGCCTTTCCCCCTGCAGCGTTTGAAGTTGGCTACCGGCAGAGGAGAGACAGAGGACGCCGGGGGTCGTGACGGTGTGAAAGTGTGACGTTCTGCACCATCTCACAGGGCGTTACAAAGAACTGGAGTGATCCTTTAGGAAATGCCCGAGGGCACCACAGGCAGATGGGCGACAGCCCGCATCAGCAACAGGTTCTGCTCTCTGAGCTGAAATAACGCCTCAACAGGGACAACTCGAGATCCCCGTGGTGCTTGAAGTGGATTTGCAGTGTGGGGAAAACACAGGGCTTTTTTTTTTTTGCTGACGTTTAGTCCTTTTAACAAACAGCCAGCTGCCCGTTAGGAAAGGTAAGTCAGGGATCCTACAGCTCTGTAGCCAGCTGAAGGTAAAAGCAATTTGAGTTACTCGGTTGGAGGCGAGGACTGGAGAGGCAAAGGCAAGATCAGTTGACAAATCGCCATGAAGAAACATCTTTAGGTCGCATCATGCAGTTGTCGGAGGTTGGTTGTGCGTTAACTCCTCCACAGCCGCTGGCAAAGGCGAAGCTGCGCTGGGAGACGATCCTCCAGATTCCTCCCCCCCTCAAGGTCCTGGCTGTGCGAGGTGGATCTGTTGCCCGCGATCAGAAGGATCATATGGGACCTACAGTCGTCTAAAAGCAGATCCAGCTGCCTGGATCTGGACTGGGTTGTGTGTCTTATCACACCTGCCCTTGCCGAGGGCTCGGAGTCTTGGGCTGTACCACCGCCGCCAGAGACAGCTCTGCGCTGCGGTGTGATTTGAAGCGCTGTCGGTCTCAATTGAACACTTTGGATTTTAAAACACGGGGGTGAACGTCTGCAGAGAGAATTACGCTCCTGGGATGCCTCTTGCTGCCTTTTTGGCCTCTGGGTTGAAGTAGCTGCCAGGGACACGCTGGCCGAGGGCCAAGCTGTGACTCTTCTCACAGGTAGCCAGCGGAAAGGCTGGAGAAGGTGCCCGGTGGCATCTCTCTGCCCGTTCCTGTGGGGTAACAGCAGCGTGTCTGCTGTGCCTGGGCGATCCCTGGCTAATGGACCCGATCTGCACTGCCACGGGCAGCTGACCCTCATTTCCAGCTGCTATCAGGCCCTCTGGAGCAGCTCCTGGTAGCCCCAGATTTGCCTGTGACTGTGGATCTCCATCTGTGCCCTTCCAGGGGCCGTATGCAGTTAGGGACCGATGGCTTGCGGCCTCCTTTCTTTTCAGGCCTGCGTCATTTCTGCGAAACGCAAAGGTGAAAAATGGCGCCGAGCTGGTGCCGGATAAATAATCCCCTTTCCACCACCGCAGGAAGGACACACGCGCACCATCCAGACGCTGCTGTCCCTCGGCGCTGATGTCCACGCAAGGGATGGGAAGAACCGTTCTGGTAAGGCTGCTGAGCTTTTTTTTGTTCCTCCCTCTGTAGGACAGCGAGAACAGGAGCCCAACCTCCCCAACAGCCTGCGCTGCGTCTGCTCAGCGGCGCGTGCAAGGAGAAGCCAGATGCGTGTACGCTAAAAGGCTCTTGCAGCAGCGTGCTGTGTGCAGCCTCGGGGGTTTGGGGTTGGTTTTTTTTGCAGCTTTCATTCACTGGCTCTCTTCCTGCTGGACTTTCTGATGTCTGGTGGTGTGGTTGAGCCAGCGCTGGGGCCTTTCCCCTTGGGGGGAAGAACAGAGATGCTCGTTGGTGTTTCTCTTTACCCAGCTGCTTATTTTGCATGAAACTTTCAGGAGCTTGGTATCTTTGATACCGCCACCTTGCCGTCGAGTTTGGTTGAAATGAACCAGTTTGAAATGGTGGGGCAGACAAATAACAGCGATTGCACAAGCTCTTAAGCCTCGATTCCTTAGCAAACTGCCTGAGCAAATAATAACAGAGAGCCTGAACGTATAGATAGTTGCTATAGTGATGCCAGAGAGTTGGCATTCCCAGCGTGAGAGTCTGAGGCATCTCTTACATCAGCATTTCCCTCTCAAAAAAAAAAAAAGTATGTATAAATGGTTTCAGCCGTTGCCAAAATTGGCAACTTACCCAGTCTTCAGCTTTGCTTAATAACACGCTTCAGCGGTGAGCATCTCTCCCTCCACCCCCTCAGTGAGTAAATTTGAGCTCTGCTGAGCTCGTCCAAACCTGGGACGCTTGGGTTGGCTCCTCGTGCCCCTTGGCTGCCCCGTTCCCCGGCACCTTTGCTGCGTTAGTGTCACTGCGGCGTAGGGAGCTTCTCACCCAGGCTCCGCTCCTGCAAAGTGTCCTGCGTGGATTATCCGTGGGGGATCAGGGTGACCCGCGGTCAACAGCAGCCTGCAGCAAGCGCTGACGACCCCCGGTGTCAAAGCTGCACGAGCCAAGCGTAACAGGACTGCCTAAGAGCGTGCTGGCTGTCAGAGGGGTCTGTGGGATGGCCTGGGGCTTGGGCTGGAGTGTTTCCCCCTCCTCCTGCGGGATGCTCTTTGCTCTCACGCAGCGCATGGAAACCTTTCTCATTTAGTCCCCGGCCCTGGAGCGAGCTGGCGGGGAGCCCCAGCCCAGAAGGGACCCTGGTGACATCCAGAGTAGTTTCAAGCCCCTCTCTTGCACATCATTGTTAAATCCACCCAGACACGGAGCAATAAGAAGCCCAGAGGCCTTCTACTCAGTCCCACGGCCTCCCCCTTCTGCCCACGACTCGGTCAGAATGAACCAAGTTGGCTTAAACGCTCCCACCGTGTTTGCAAAGCTGGTTGGCCTTGGCTCGGCCAGGTTAGTACCGCTGGATGGACTGGAAGGACTGGGAATCTGCGAGGGGGAGACGGGGGTAATGGCTGGGGTGAACCAGGCTGGTAGCTTTTCTGCCAGCGTGGCTGGGTGTGGAAGGGGACGTGGCCCCTGCTTGTGTGGGTTTAGTCATCTCATTGCTGCTGCAGAGACGCGCGGCCGCGGCAGCTGAGCCCTGCTGTGCCATCACGGGGCTGCTTGGCTGGGAAAAGTCATCTTTCACCCTCGATGTGTTTCCTCTGCTGACTCGGTTTCCTTTGCTGGGAATTGCAGAATCATAACATTGTTTGGGTTGGAAAAGACCTTTAAGGTCATCGAGTCCAACCGTTAACCCAGCACCGCCAAGTCCACCACTAAACCATGTCCCTAAGTGCCACATCTACATGTTTTTGAGCACCTTCAAGGATGGTGACTCCACCACGTCCCTGGGCAGCCTGTTCCAGTGTTTGACAACCCTTTTGGTGAAGAAATTTTCCCTCATGTCCAACCTAAACTTCCCCTGGCACAACTTAAGGGCATTTCCTCTCGTCCTATCGCTTGTTACTTGGGAGAAGAGACCGACCCCCACCTCACCACAACCTCCCCTCAGGCAGTTGCAGAGAGCGATGAGGTCTCCCCTCAGCCTCCTCTTCTCCAGGCTGAACACCCCCAGTTCCCTCAGCCGCTCCTCACCAGACCTGTTCTCCAGACCCTTCCCCAGCTCCGTTGTCCTTCTCTGGTCACGCTCCATCTTGCATCTGAAGCGGGCTGAGGCCAAACCCACCGAGCAATCCCAGCTCCTGTCTCACCATCTTGTCTCCCCCACAGCCCTGCACGCAGCGTGCGCTGGGCAGCAGGCAGAGGCCGCACGGATCCTGCTCCGCGCCGGGCTGCGGGATGCTCCGGATAGCACGGGCACGCTGGCACGGCAGCTCGCGAGGAAGCCAGATGTCATCCGGGTTTTCCAGGAAATGAATGTCAGCACGTGAGACCAGCTGGGGAAATAAAAAAGAGAAAGACGTTTCATTTCAGCGCGGTACGTTAGTTATCACTTCACAACTATTCAGATTTACGCAATCAGCTGTTTAAAATCATGGGATTTGTGCCCGAGGGTTGAGCAGAGAAACTCTTGAGACTTGAGAAATATGTTTAGGAGTAAAACATACTTAAAATAGGAGTATCTCAAAAAGATAACGGTCGTGAAAAGCATGTTTTAAATAGGATTATCTCAGAAAGATAATGGAGGACTACCACACTCCTGTACTGACCCCATCATTCCAAGTTTATGGCTGCTCTTCTTTCACTTCCTAATTTCAGGGCTGAACTTCGCCTCTTCTTGTGCATCACCCGGCACGTCCAAACAGCTGAGGCCGCAGCTCCCTGAGGTATCTGAGGAAGGTGCCCCACGGGGCGCCGCTACGTGACCTCTGGGGACCTGCACGGCTTGAACCTCTGGAGCCTGCCTGGCTTTTGCTGGGCTGTTTCCACATCATCCCAAAGGAGAAGATAGACCTGGATCCTTGACTTTTATAGCCCTGAATGGACCTGCTCTCCACTAATCTCTTAAGTGGCTTTAAGTGGCCACCTCTTTCGGTAGCCCCTGAGAGAGGTCGAGTGCGGTGCAGTGCGAGCGAGCCCTTGGTGACTCTTCCTCCATCGGGTTTGAGCTGCAGAGGACAAATGCAGGGAGTCTTCAAGCTGCATCAACCTCTTAGGTCCTTTTGGTGCCCCAAGCCTGATCCCAAAGCCTGCTGAAAGCAATAGGCAGGGGTCAACCTTGTGATGACATCAAGGGTCTTTCGATCAGGCTACCAAAAAAATAATTTAAAAAAAAGATATTGGTTATTCCAGACAGTCTTGCTTGGCACTTCTCACCACTGATGAACTTTAAAACCACAAAAAATCTGCTCTTTGAAGTGTAGAGGCAGACGGCTTAATATTTAATGCGGCCAGTAAGTCTGTAACAGCCTGGAATACCCGTAAAGGTAAGAGCTACTGTAGCTGTTTGGTTTGTTTGTATCCACCTGGAATGATAAATTTGGTTTTCCATAGAAACGTGCCACGCCCTTGTCTATGTGTAACGTCAAGACGTCCAAAAACGACGGGATTCCTGACGCTAAAAATGGGGCAGGCCTCCGAGCGAGCGAGCGCGGTTTTTGCTCTGCCCAGGCTGCGGTGCTCACGTCATGGTTTGACGCACAACCCACGGGGGGGGGGGG